TTTACATAATTGATTTGTTATTTTTAAAATTTTTGGATCATTCTTCATCTTAAAGTTCCTATCTATATGTAATAATAAAGCTAAAATAGAAAATGTGGGGTGACACCTTCTTAGCAATAGATACTTATTTATTCTGATCAATGTTTCTGACATTTTTTGTTATTTTTTCCTTAAAATAATTGTTGCCTCGATTTTTAGTTTTAGTTTTATTTTTTTAGCATTTTCTAATTTTAAAAGACTGAAAAATTTATATTGAAAATTTACAAAATATAAAAAATGATTTATTTAACTCCTATCATCATCAATATTATTATTAATTTGTTTTACTTCTTTTCTTAATCTTCATTTCATCATTAAATGTAATTTATATCATTTTCTTAGATATATATATATATTAAAAAATTAGGTTCAAAATGTACTATAAAATACAATAATTAACAACTTAATATATTAAAGAGACATATAAAAAATGGTTAATATTTGAAATTCTGCGTGTGCCACATAAATTAGAACAAACAGAGTAATAAATATTTTTTTCAAAATTATGTTAAAAAAAAGTACTACAAATCACAATAGCTAACAATTTAAAATATTTTTAAAATCATATAAAAATTTCAATAACTTCTCAAATTCCATAATATAACACTTAAATACTACATATTATATATTAATTACTATACTATAAATGACTTAAATACTCCATATTATCTATTACAATAATTAACAATTATTTGACACTTTAAATTCTATCAATGCCATATAAATTAGGATAAAAAACCTAACATATAATATTTAAATATATTTAAAAATAATATAAGTAATACTATACATTACAATAATTAACAGCTTAATTATTTAAAACTTATATAAAAAATTTAATTGACTCTCTAAATTCTATTGGTACCACATAAAATGGATTATATGATAAACATATATTGTTTGAAATTGACGAAAAAGAAACTATAAATTACAATAATTAACAAAATAAATCTCTCGACTCCAACAAATCTATCAATTAATGCCACATAAATTGGGACATGGCAAATAACATATATTATTAAAAAATTAGGTTCAAAATGTACTATAAAATACAATAATTAACAACTTAATATATTAAAGAGACATATAAAAAATGGTTAATATTTGAAATTCTGCGTGTGCCACATAAATTAGAACAAACAGAGTAATAAATATTTTTTTCAAAATTATGTTAAAAAAAAGTACTACAAATCACAATAGCTAACAATTTAAAATATTTTTAAAATCATATAAAAATTTCAATAACTTCTCAAATTCCATAATATAACACTTAAATACTACATATTATATATTAATTATACTATACTATAAATGACTTAAATACTCCATATTATCTATTACAATAATTAACAATTATTTGACACTTTAAATTCTATCAATGCCATATAAATTAGGATAAAAAACCTAACATATAATATTTAAATATATTTAAAAATAATATAAGTAATACTATACATTACAGTAATTAACAGCTTAATTATTTAAAACTTATATAAAAAATTTAATTGACTCTCTAAATTCTATTGGTACCACATAAAATGGATTATATGATAAACATATATTGTTTGAAATTGACGAAAAAGAAACAATAAATTACAATAATTAATAAAAAAAATTGTTGACGAAATTGACGAAAAACAAATTATAAATTACAATAATTAACAAAATAAATCTCTCGACTCCAACAAATCTATCAATTAATGCCACATAAATTGGGACATGGCAAATAACATATATTATTAAAAAATTAGGTTCAAAATGTACTATAAAATACAATAATTAACAACTTAATATATTAAAGAGACATATAAAAAATGGTTAATATTTGAAATTCTGCATGTGCCACATAAATTAGAACAAATAGAGTAATAAATATTATTTTCAAAATTATGTTAAAAAAAAGTACTACAAATCACAATAGCTAACAATTTAAAATATTTTTAAAATCATATAAAAATTTCAATAACTTCTCAAATTCCATAATATAACACTTAAATACTACATATTATATATTAATTACTATACTATAAATGACTTAAATACTCCATATTATCTATTACAATAATTAACAATTATTTGACACTTTAAATTCTATCAATGCCATATAAATTAGGATAAAAAACCTAACATATAATATTTAAATATATTTAAAAATAATATAAGTAATACTATACATTACAATAATTAACAGCTTCATTATTTAAAACTTATATACAAAATTTAATTGACTCTCTAAATTCTATTGGTACCACATAAAATGGATTATATGATAAACATATATTGTTTGAAATTGACGAAAAAGAAACTATAAATTACAATAATTAACAAAATAAATCTCTCGACTCCAACAAATCTATCAATTAATGCCACATAAATTGGGACATGGCAAATAACATATATTATTAAAAAATTAGGTTCAAAATGTACTATAAAATACAATAATTAACAACTTAATATATTAAAGAGACATATAAAAAATGGTTAATATTTGAAATTCTGCGTGTGCCACATAAATTAGAACAAACAGAGTAATAAATATTTTTTTCAAAATTATGTTAAAAAAAAGTACTACAAATCACAATAGCTAACAATTTAAAATATTTTTAAAATCATATAAAAATTTCAATAACTTCTCAAATTCCATAATATAACACTTAAATACTACATATTATATATTAATTACTATACTATAAATGACTTAAATACTCCATATTATCTATTACAATAATTAACAATTATTTGACACTTTAAATTCTATCAATGCCATATAAATTAGGATAAAAAACCTAACATATAATATTTAAATATATTTACAAATAATATAAGTAATACTATACATTATAATAATTAACAGCTTAATTATTTAAAACTTATATAAAAAATTTAATTAACTCTAAATTCTCTTGGTACCACATAAAATGGATTATATGATAAACATATATTGTTTGAAATTGATGAAAAAGAAACTATAAATTACAATAATTAACAAAATAAATCTCTCGACTCCAACAAATCTATCAATTAATGCCACATAAATTGGGACATGGCAAATAACATATATTATTAAAAAAATATTTAAATAATTAAGCTGTTAATTATTATAATGTATAGTATTACTTATATTATTTGTAAATATATTTAAATATTATATGTTAGGTTTTTTATCCTAATTTATATGGCATTGATAGAATTTAAAGTGTCAAATAATTGTTAATTATTGTAATAGATAATATGGAGTATTTAAGTCATTTATAGTATAGTAATTAATATATAATATGTAGTATTTAAGTGTTATATTATGGAATTTGAGAAGTTATTGAAATTTTTATATGATTTTAAAAATATTTTAAATTCATAACTATATATTTCAATGTACAAGATTTTGATAAAATAAAATCTTTAAAGTTAAATTATAATGTTTTTGAAATTTAAATTATTAAAACATATATAATGATTTTATAGGAAAAAATAATATCATATAAAATTAAATGAAAAGGATAATAAATTCAACTTTTACCATGATAAGGTTGAAGAATATTATTTAAGTGGAAGGAGGTGGGGCCCACTTATATATGTACAAGTACTTTAATGCAATGGAAGGACCAACATTGTACAAGTACTTTAATGCAATGGAAGGACCAACATTGTACAAGTACTTTAATGCAATGGAAGGACCAACATTGTACAAGTACTTTAATGCAATGGAAGGACCAACATTGTACAAGTACTTTAATGCAATGTTGGTCCTTTCCAACTCTCATTTCTAAATAAGAGTAGATAATATGGAGTATTTAAGTCATTTATAGTATAGTAATTAATATATAATATGTAGTATTTAAGTGTTATATTATGGAATTTGAGAAGTTATTGAAATTTTTATATGATTTTAAAAATATTTTAAATTCATAACTATATATTTCAATGTACAAGATTTTGATAAAATAAAATCTTTAAAGTTAAAGTATAATGTTTTTGAAATTTAAATTATTAAAACATATATAATGATTTTATAGGAAAAAATAATATCATATAAAATTAAATGAAAAGGATAATAAATTCAACTTTTACCATGATAAGGTTGAAGAATATTATTTAAGTGGAAGGAGGTGGGGCCCACTTATATATGTACAAGTACTTTAATGCAATGGAAGGACCAACATTGTACAAGTACTTTAATGCAATGTTGGTCCTTTCCAACTCTCACTTCTAAATAAGGAGATATTACACTATATTTGAGAAATGATGTTTTAGTCCTTTACAAACTTTTATTTAGTTTTATGTCTCTTTTACAAAAGACCTTCATTTTCACACACAAGAGATTTTTGTTTTTCATGTAAAAGATCTAAAAAGACCATTTTCTTTTGAATTCAAATGTGTAAGACAGTAAGAGGGTGAGAGATCCTATTTCCTCATAAAAGAAGATGATACAACTTCAACTTCTTTCATTAAAAATTAATTTTTCTTATTTTAATTTCATTAATGATATTTGAAAACTTTGACATAATTTCAGTGTACCGACATACTTTACTAGTTGAATTTTAACAAAGTATTTGATCAAATGCATAAAGGTGTGTCATATATATAGCTTAAATACTTGTTATAATAAGCGCAAATATCCGATCAGTCCGGTAATAATGAACTTGTACATAGTGAAAAGAGAAAATAATGGATCTTTGTTTTAAGGGAAAAAAAGAAAGAAAAACAGATCGATTAAATGTTAATTTCACTATACAATATTCAAGTATAAACATCCTTTTAATAATCTACTCTTAACAATTTCATCCATCTTGCAATTTCCTCTACAAACATACATAGGTCGTGTAACATGTCTATATATGTACCATTGATGTGACAAAAAATGCTTCTATAAATACAGTGTCAAAGAAAACAAAGTGTTGACAATGAATACAAGAATAAAATTCTTACAAACAATAGTCATATTGCCAAAAAAAAAAGGTCATCTTATAATAATTTGCTAGCAACTAATGGCCACCATAGAGGGAAAGTAAGGAGAATGATAAGCAAAATGATAAGGAAAACAGCAAAACAAGCACACTTTCTTGAACTTTTTTGAATCTCCCTTGCTTCTTGTAATTGATCTGTGCCTCTCCTAACAAAGGAACTTGCATGTGCCACATGACTTTCAATATCATTTAATTGTTGCCCTTGTGCTTCCACCAATGCAGCCATGTCTAAAAATATTTGGTGTAGCTCAATCAAATTCTTCTCAATCTCTTTCACAGCATCATGTCTTTCTTGTATTTCGGAAATTGTGTCCATAATCTGACCCCTACCTGTTAAGATGCAAATAATCAGGTGTCATGCAGAAATTAATAGAAGAGAGAGAAAATATGAAAAATGATAAGAAAATTAGGATAAACAGCTAACGTGATACCTTGTTCCTGGATTGCCTTTTGGAGGAAAGACTCGCTCTCCCCACTTGATATCAAATTCTCAATTAATTCATCGCCAGCTTTCTCTCCTGTCACAGTAAAGTACCTTCTTGCAACCGTTTCCTTATATTCATCATTCATTCTTGTCCTCAATGCTTGAAAATCATCCATGAGGACTTTTAATTTTTTCCCTAAACCACTAACTACAGAAGTCCTTGTTCGATCTGCAGAAGAACCTGGTCCACATCCCGAGATTTTCCTATGAGCTGCATTGGATCGTTCGAGGGCTTCCAACTTACCTTTGATCATCTTTACGCGTTTTAAGACCTGTGACACATCTGAATCCATCCTAGACCTTATTTCTTTCACAGTCTTGGCATTATGCACAAGTTTGCTCTCTTCATTTGATTCTTGTAATTTTTTATGAAATTTTTCGACATCTTTCATATCTTCTTTCACATTTTCTACATCTTCAAAGAATTTAGCAAGATCAATACTTTCAGTACCTGGTTGGCCAACTTGACCACCCTCCAAATCATCTACTACGACCTGTTTTTTAAGGTCCTGATACTTTTTAAACGAATTAGAGAATAAGTCATTCATTTTTGATTGATTTTTCAATTTCCCTTTTTTTTTTCTCAATGGACAAACTAGTCTTGGTATGTACCTATCCTCAACATAAATTGTTGTTTATCCCACGCGGAGGAGGGTTGTGATAGGTTGATAGTCAGCGAAAAAAAACAAGTATTGTTATTGTTGTTAAAGGGAAAATATCGCGCTCTTGTCTAAACCTTCTCTCTTCATTAACGAGACGATGAATTGGAGGAGGGAGAAGAAGAGAAGGAGACAAGAGCAAAGACTTCATTAAGAAATAAGAAAGGATCAAAATCATTATTTGTTAAAGGATTTTATTATTTGAGGCTATGCAGCCATTGTTAAATTAAAGTTACACCAAACCAAATTTGAGGAAGGTCGTTAAAACAGGAAAATCTGTTGGGACACTTGGAGTGTCAATTGACCTTGTCTAGTCTATTTATATTTCAAATATTTTTATAAATGCTTAATTCAATTTTCGATATGTATGTAAAAAAATACTAATTATTTTATTTTTTTAATCTAAATTTTACATCATTTAAGCAAAAATAAAATCATAAAGTTTACGGCCTTAATTTTTTTTGGGACTAAAACAAAGGCTTTATTAGTCTCCCCTTAAAGCCACAAGTGTCTTTTGTAAACCACAAATACATAGTTGTGTAGGATCGTATGTTCCTTAAAAATAAAGAAAAGTTATGAGGACTAGAGAAAGGAAAACATGTTTCATCAACATTTTGTGAATGGTTGTGTGCTATCAGTAAGAGTGGAATCAAGATTGTATCTTATACGGGGATCTTAATAGTTCAATTAATTTGTTATTTAAATTTGATCTCCAAAAACCAAATACTTTGAATATGTTATTAAGCACTATTGCTAATTAATAGAATTCCGACCTTAGCTCAGTTGGTAGAGCGGAGGACTGTAGTTTGGAAACAGTAAATCCTTAGGTCGCTGGTTCGAATCCGGCAGGTCGGACATTTTTATTATTTATTTTTTCATCTTCATTGGTTGTTCGTTGGTTTCGGTTATCACTTTTCTTTTTTGTGCTTCGATTATCATATTATTCAATTATTCATGACTATTCTTTCTTTTGTTTGTTGTATACTACCTTCCATTTCACATTATATTATTGTTGTTACTACTCTCGTTTTTGTATTCCTTTTTTCAAATCGATTGGAATTGTTCTATTTAAGTTGAAAATCTATCAAAAACAGTTTCTCTATCTCTACAAGATACGAATCTGCCTACACTCTATCCTCCTTCAAACTCCACTTGTGAGATTACACCGAGTATATTGATGTTGTCATGCTGCAATACATCTCAACAAAGTTTCATATGTTAAACTGTAGAGTACTCAGCTATTTAGTAGCTATTTTCTTTACACATGAATGAAGAAATCTCAAGCATCTAACAGATCCTGATACAGAGAGGGATCATAAACCCAGGAGGATATATAAATCTATACAACATTCCAAAATCCAATATGTGCAACAACAATGACAACGTATAATCAATCAAGAAGTGTTTTCTAATATATATCACTTCTATTTCTAAAGAGTGCATCTCTGAAGCAAAACTTCTTCCCTGGAGCAGAAGAACAATGTAGTGGGGAATGAAATAACTCCACAGGCTTCCAAAGCAGCAGATGCATACTACGCGCAGATCTTTAGGATTTTACTTTTCAGTTTTTCGTTCTTGACTAATCCTTGGTAACCCACCTTTGACCACGAACTTGAATAGCACCAAAGTTCTGATCACTGCTACTCTCTCCACCACTTTCTGCACTGGTATATTCAGATTTTCTACGGTGCTTCTTCCTCCTAGAAGTTCCACTATCACTTAAGCTTCCATTCAAAAGAGGGTCATCGATCCCACGTATGACTCTTCTTGTTGGAGATGATGAGGCAACACCACTATTGTCCTTTGCTTTTCTCCCTTTGTCATGCTTCTTTATGTTCTGAGAGATTTTATGTAATTTTTGTATTCCTTTCTCTACAGGTTCTACTGCTTGGGTTACTGTGAATTTCAGGTCATTCACTATCTGCTTGCAGAACCAGAAAGTATTGTTAGCAAGGAGAAGAGGAAATATGGAGACAGTAGGCTCGATGGAATAAATTTAAGAAAACTCAAGCTTAGCTCAAGAAGTAAACTGGAACGAGATCAAGTTCGAGCTGCAACTCAAGCTTATGTTATATACTCTCTTTTTTACCAGATAAGCTTATATTATATATTCTTTTAACCCAATTTACATGAGTATTTTCATTTAAGAATGTCCCAACATGTTTGCAGCACTTCACTAATAATAGCAAAGAGAAAGAGATGCTTACATATTCACCACCTCCAATAAATATATCTTTAACACTTTCTCTTATGGTTGTTCCACCCCTATCATCAATGTCTGGTTGAGGAAGACGTAATGTGGTGCGACGTTCACTATCTCTAACCTCGTCAGGATCTACTGCCAAATCAGCAGATACATAATCTCCAAGAACTGCAACATCCCCAGTAAAACACTCTCCCATCAGCTCGTATGGCTTGGCAGGGAAGACATAGAGGTGAACCACAGAAGCAATGCCCATCTGTACTGGATGAATAACAAGAGCTGTTAAACTTCAAAATTTTGGAGGAATATCAAGCATCAACAAATCACAAATAGAAGCTTAGTGTCTATATTCATCAGTGACATTACCCATCCCTCAACCCTCATACCTTGAAGAAACCTTCAGAAACATAAAAATCATGGGCAGGGTTTGTACTTGTATTTTCTTCCCTCATTTTGTGGGTACGGTATGGAAAGAAACTTGCCTTTGACCCCAAATAAAAAACAAAACAGTCCTTAAATACTCCAGAATCAACAATATGAAACCTCACAACGGGGTAAGCAAATTCTAGAGCATTATGCCAGCAGTTAATGTCTAAAAGAAGAGTTATTGAGAGCAGCTTTCGACATTAATATGCATCAGTTCCAGTAGCACATCGATATGCATCATAAGCATAGATCAAACGGCACATGGATGCATCAGTTGTAAAACATAAGATGTTGAACAGATGCAAGATCCATCATGTATGATTAAAGCTTATCTTTCAAGTTTCTAGCGCACACCTTAATAGAATAACAAGGAGCTTTGTGTGCTATTTCTTAGGAGCAATCACAAAAGCAAAGTTCCTGACGGCCCAAACTAAACGTTTGGTATTAGAAGTAATAAAAACATGCCCAATTCCAGAACAATTACCTCAATGCATATGATGAAATCTTGAATGCTGGACTTAAACTGTAAAGCTTGAGCTATTGGACTTTTAAGGAAACCAAGTGTAGAAAGCAGGGCTATTGCCAGGCCTTGCCACCAAGTTAAGAAAACAATTGACTTGAAAGTTAGAAACTTGTACAGCGGCTTGATGTGAGATAATTCATCCTTTGTAATAGTATAAAATTGAACTAGGCAATACAACGCCCATGATTGACTGAAATTTAAAACCACAGCCATATACGGATACCTACAAAGACAAGATAGATAAAGTAAGAGATATCTTGGACCGTTATTTCATTAATTACATGGTCAAATCAGCATGAAAACATGGTATTGAATGTCAAAATATTTCTAGACGAATAATTATTTATAGGAGCATCTGCCAAATAGAAGCAACTTTATACCCATAAATTGAACATTGAGGACTATGCAGTCACTATTCATGAATTATTGTGGGATAGCCTTCCACTCAAATTTAAGACCCTTTCCCTGGCTGGCTATCTTATATAAAACGTATGCACATAAAGACATGATAACTTAAGCTTCACCAGAAGGCATACAAAGACAGTCTCATGCTGGAAGGCACCAGGCAGGGTAAAACAAAGAAATATTTTCCCATTAGCCGAGGAAAGTAGTAAAGGACCATCGCTATCATGGGAAGAAAAGAAAAATGTAGGATAAAAAGACTATTTGATCAAAGGGATAGATAAAAGGCCAAATTCAACTGAAAACAAGAAGAAGAAATCAAGGAGAGAGAGCTACCCAATGACAACAAGGAGTATCTTACCCACAATTCCATTTGAAGTCTCCTTCACAATATACATCAAAACCTTCAAGAATCACTGCTAAAGTAGCAGTAAATGCTTTGATAATCATCTGCAGAGTTTGTGTTGTATGTATTTAAAACAAGAGATGAGTAAATCTTGTCGGTCCAAAGGAATATAGGCTCTAATTCAGGTAGCACACTTACATATTGGACAATTCCAAACTTGATAACTTGGTAGACCCACTGACCAAGTTTCCATGGCTTGAAAATATAATTCATGGGAAAATGATGCTTAACGATTCCCTTTTCAGAGCCATGCTCTAGTAGTGGCATCTTTGAACCTGCACGTCCTTCCCTCTTCATAAATTGTATGGTCCTCTTTTCTCCACCTAATTCAAAAATAAATGAAGGGAAAAAAGAAAGGAAGAAAGACACAAATAAATGAACGAGTTCATGTAAGAGATTTTGGAGACATTTTGCTGGTGACCAGTAGCATAGACTAGTAAAATCAAAATAAGACAAATTTAAGCTCTGCAAACTTCAATTTACATTTTTACGGTATAGGGGTACTTAAGAAGACCACTTAGCAAATAAGGCACACCAGCCTTTTATATCAAGCAGTCAAACTTCAGCTGTCATACCAACAAGAAACACGTGAGCATGTGTATGTGTGTGTATGAGAAGGAATTTGCTGATGAATAAGAGATCGGCAATGAATAGCTATCACATCTTCTCAAGTGGCAAAACAAGGGAAAAAATTCTTTCTTTATGCAGGAAGGTTAGTTGGGTTACTTTCCTGAATCTAAACATTAGATGGATGTGACCAAATAATCAAACTTAACATAGAAAATATCCATACCTAAACATGCAATAAGATACCTCCCAAAGCAGTACATGGCAAGGGATTCATAGCAATCACGTAGTATCCCAATGTCAACAGTAATCGCTGGATTTACCAATGACACAAACTGAAAAATAAGCCATATTAGAGAATTAACCAGGTAA